TTTTTTTTTTTTTTTTTTTTTGTAACAAAGAAAACTGAAAAGGGCACTTGAAAGGTGCTCAGAGACTGATTTTCAGGCAAGAGTAAAAGTTGATCAAATAATGACTAAAGAGCAAATATGATGAGGTTGGAAATATTCTACAACTACAAATATCTGAGAGGACCAGGATTTATGTGGCATGGTTCTATGGACTACAGTAAGAAACATATAGAAGGAAAATAATTAAAGGTATTTATGTTAAATTTTTTTTTTTTTTTTGTCTTTTTGTCTTTTTTCGTGTCCGGCAACGGATCACAACCCTCAGTGTCGTGCCCGTACCGGTTAAATTTTTAAAAAACGAATACCCTAACTGCAATGACAATACCATTTTAAAAGCCTCTTCTGGGGCTGGCTGGTTAGCACAGTTGGTTAGAGCACAGTCTCATAACACCAAGGTCAAGGGTTTGGTTCCCCATACTGACCAGCCACCAAAAATAAAAAGTAAAAGAATTAAAGATTTTTCTCATATCCCACTGTCTCAGACTTCAAAACAAACAAGACCAGATCCTAGCCTAGAAGACAAATTAAAACATACTAGATCATTTCCTTCTCTAATTTAGTAAAGGCAAAAGAAAAATGAGTAAATGACAGCCAACACCACACCAATGCAACTGCAATCTTGATTTCACATTACAACCCAATTTACCCTAACCCATAAATTTGATTTTTCTATATGCTTTACTTCCCTACAAGACCAATAAGGCAGTTTATCCTCTTGCTTTTCAATTAAATTAGTTCCACTAAATTCTTACCTTTAACGACTAGACACACCAGTTTTTCACACTGCAACATTCCTGCTTTCTAAGTCGAAATGGAATCTTTACAACCCGCCTACCCTTTTCTGGATAAGTTTTGGAATGATTCCAGTATTTTAAAATAGCTAAGGTCTCTACATTTATACCATTATAAAATTTATTTTATAATAATTATTTATTTTGTAATACCACTATAAAAATTATAAATTTATATATATATAATATATA